TAACCCAGTGGTAAGACTGCCTAGCCTGTGATAAGAATGTCTAGCTAAAGGACAGCAAGACTGTCAGTCTACTTGCATATGTTTCCAGGCAACCTAGGAAAAAAGGAATATTCCCATAAATACAGAAAGATCACCTAATTACAGAGCACACCTGGGAACTCAGATATACTGCTTGGACTACACATTCAACCATTGATGTGCTTTGGGCTGAGTTACCTCCTTCTCTCGAATGAAGTTCTCAAAGACAGCACTGTAGGATTCGTTTATTTTCTTCTTTTCTTCTTCTGACTCTAACTCAAACTTTTTTGTCATTTTATTTTCTGTGGAGGTGAGAGGAAAGCACATGGACATGTAAATGTGGGAAAAACTGGTGCAGAGAGAAACCCAGAATATCTGAAGATAAAAGCAATGCCAGACTGGATCAAACTCAAGGTCCTTCCAGTCTGCTGTCCAGCCTCTGACACCCACCTGCGATGCTTGAGTGTGAGGTGAGCGTGGTGGTTGTCCTCAATCACGTTAGTCATAGGGATTTACCACCAACATCGCTGGTTTTTTGTGTGTAGCTTATTTTGGATCTGTTGCCTATTATTTTGTGCATTCACTCTGCGGAAGCAACCACTATGCATTCTTGGATATCCTTGTCTTAAAATAAAGCTCTTGGCTAATGTGACTTTGCCAGCAATAAAATTCATCTGTACTTAGCCCTGGCATAGAGGTAGGCGTAAACTGTTTTCCTGGGCAGAGGAACCTGCCAGCAGAGGCCCAATATCAAACAAGAAGAAGATCAGGAGGGAGGGAGGGGAAACACAGATTTCCTCAGTGTCGCAATTCTGGGGATGGACAGGGAATCTCTGGGTGACAGGGTAAGCTTCTGGACTGAGTGGCATGGGGAGCAGCTGGCATCTGGTCTTCCAAATGAGTGGTTACATCTTAGACTTTGACAACATGGGACAAGTGTCATATGAGTAGCTAGAAATCTGGGAGGTGACCTGAGTGTTGCTGCACATGGCTCCTAGGTAAAGCCTCAAACAGGAGTAGCTCCAGGTCCCGTTCCCCACCCTTAACTAAGGGTCTTCATGTTACCTCTGGTGGTCCAGAGTCCCCACCAGAATGTGGATTAACTTTCCCACGGAGTATCTGCATTTAAATGAGTGACCTATTAAAATCAACTAAATACAAGATGAATGGGGTTGGAGTAGGATGTGGAATTGGTCTGTAGAGGCCCCGCTCCTGCCTCATCTCATCTAGTCTTCGAGAGCTGGGGCAGTCCCACACAGCCCTCACTCCTTTTCTCCATTTATGAAGGTGCTCAGTGAGGGGGAGGTGCACCTCTAGAACACTTCATATGATCCAGGCTCTGTGTTAAGTGCTGGGACTATTAAAAATATTTATCAAACACATTCCTTTCTGGGAAATGTGAGGGTATAGAGGCTCTTGGTATAATGGATTGTGTTGTTCTTCCCTCCACGCACAAATGAATATTTCACGTTCTAATTCCAAAACTCTTGGAACTTTGGGGTCCCCTGAATCTAGACAATAAAGTCTGTAGACCCCTATAGCAATTCCAACATTTGTTCCAGCCCATCATGGGCAAACTTGGACCCAGTGAGTTTTGGAAAGGTGTAGGCTTAGAGCCCCTTAAATCAGGTGTTTGAACTTCAAAAAAGACCCTGCCCTTGTTGTCACTTTGCCTTCTTGAAAACTCCGGGGCACTTTCCATTCAGGAGTCTAGCATGTGACCTGTCACCTGCGATAAATACTTTCCTCAAGTGAAGACCAAGCTTCATGGCAGTTTTTTGATGCACTTGTCATCAAAAAGCTAGAAGTTCGTGTACTCACTTTGCTGTAGCAGCATCTTTTCCCGCTCCAACTTCTCATCTTTCTCCCATTCTGCCTTCCGCTTTGACCATTTATCTTCCATTTCATCATAAATGCTATCCTGTGGAGACACAAAGGTGCCATGAAGAAAATTGTCCTAAACAAAGGAGACTTGGAGAAGCTGCAGACTCAGCCCAGGGAGGGCCCCGCCCAGCGCTGCACACTGGCCATGGCACAGCACTGGGCCCCGGGCAGCTTCTGTCCCTGAGGTGCCCCTCCCAAGTGACTGGTGGGAAGTAAATTCCAGCCCCGCCCAGCAGAGAGCTTGTGGGACCCTCACAGTCAAGGGCAAACGATGCACACCAAACTATGCCTAGTAGTTAAATTGAACACACAGAAAACAATGGGATGTTTTCAGTGTCCATTTTTTCTCAGCAAATCTAACTTCCTTCTGTGGCTGAGGTTAAATAAGTCTGACCCAATGCCAGTCCCGTTGGTTGGCTCAGCCTTCATGAGCACAGAACCCCAGGATGGGGAAGGCCCAGATCTGGATGCTAGTAGTAGGGTCCAAGGATACTGACTCCCTTCCTTCTCAGGTTAGCAGCAGGATTCACACCTGGCCAATTCTATTTACCACTCACACTTCTTAGGCTCTAATTTGTGATGTTTTCCCTGACTGCATCAAGGAGTATCTTGAAAAATGAGTTTTGGATATCAGTTCAAAAGTGAAACTGTGAGTGGTGGTGTTTAACCTTTGGTAGAGTGACCAACCATCCTTGTTTGCTTGGCACTGAAGGGTTTCCTGAGATGTTCTGAGATGGCTAGAGCACTCCATGCTCTGCCTGTGGGGATGCAAAGTGATTCAGTCTTTGTGGAGGGCCATTTGGCCAAATCTATTAAAAGCCTTTAAAATAATTTATTCTTTTTGACCCAGCACTCTACTTCTAGATTCAAAGATGTTCAAAGTTATATTATCATTACAGCAAGCAATTGGAAATAACTCAAATGGCCGGTAGAAGGGAAACAGTGAATACCCAATGGCAATTCCCTTAGGATAATATCTAGTCATTAAAAAGGAGGGGAAAGCTTCTGAAATGCTTGATGACAAGAGGGTACAAAAATGTATGTGGATTTTTATACAGTGTGATATCAATTTCCTTGGCCCTGAACTCACAGAGTTTTAACAAAGTACAAATATTAACAGTGGTTGTCTTTGGGTGGTGATATTTCTTTCTTTTTGTCATCGTTGTTGTTGATTTTGTATTTCCATTTTTTAAAAAACAACGAGCAGCTATCACTTTTGTAATCACAAACGTATTTTTTGATAGGCCTCTTTAGGGGCTGGGTGACTGACTTGTCATGCACAGAAGCCATCGGGTTTACACTTCTCCCTGGGTGCAGTTAGTGCCACGTAGGTCCAAGGATGCTGCGAGTGTCAGGACATTATTCTCTGGACAAGAGCTCTAGATTCATCCCAGAGCTATCAGCCAGGAACGAGCCTTGCTTCTCTCACTCTCGTGATCCAGCAAGGAGCTCTGTGTCTCACCTGATACATATGAAACATATTCTTCAAATACTTATATTCCTTTTCCATCTCCTCTGGACAAAAGGAAAACAACAACAAGGTCATGATTATTTGCACGTTTTCAAATTCCAATGTGAGCTCTCCTGCACACCTTCTCCACCTCAAACTCATCCCCCAGACAGTGAAACCTTTGTGTGCCCCAGAAATCACCCTGAAAACTTACTAGAAATGCAAACGCCTGGACCCCACCCTAAACTCACTGAATTGGGGTATCAGGAGACGAGGCCCAGTATTTGCTGGATTTTGATACACATCACGTCTGAGAACTAATCCCCAGGGGTAAACCAACATCCGTGGAAAAAGAGGAACAAAACCTAGTAGCATGCCTTTGCTTCTTTTTTAAAAAACATTTCCATTTTGCACTGATTATTAAAATACTACATTGGAAAATTAGTGAAGTATAAAGTATAAATCAGATACCATCTTTAAAAATATTTAAGGCAAAATTAAGGAAGAAGGTTATAGAATTTCTCCTTTTCTCTGAGGAGATTAGTCTACCCACCTGGAATTCTGAAGGATACACACTTGGCCCTTTCCAACGGCAGCATAAACAAATGAGATATCTGGCCACTACAGCCCTTTTGCATTATAAGGTGATAAAATCAAAGTTGGCAGTGAGAATTTAATGAAGTAATATCATTTAAAGGTGAGGAAACTTGCTGAATTGAAATAGTATTATATTTGTAGAACTTTAAAATATGCTTTAAAAAATACTCTCACACTCTCATCACACTGTTAGGGGCAGATATCTTTGTCTTCAATTCCCAGATGGGGAAATTAGGGAGTCACGAAGATGAAGGAACTTTGTTCAGATCTTCCAGGAAAAGGAAGGACATTGGTAGACATGGATTTTCCCCTTTCAGTTTCATTTTTAGTCACTTTTTTCCGCTTCCACGGCCCATCCATGGCCACAGGAGTTCCTTGGCCCTAAACCCACACAGTAGCCTCTTGTCCCTTCACCCAGGGTCATTCTCCCAGGTCCCAACAGTACCTAGCTTCTTTTGGGCGGCCAACTTCTCCTCCTTCAAGGCTGCTCTGAATTTGTTCTCCAACTCAGTGACCTCCGTTTTGTGAGCCTCTTTGAGCTCCCTGTGGGATCCCAGGAGAAGGCCACAATCATCAGTGAAAAGAAGTCCAGGGCTGACCTGCGACACTGCCCTGACTCTACGCTTTTGCCCTCACACAAGAAGTGGAGCCCTCACTTCCTGAAGCAGTCTCCTGGCATCTATCCAGAGGGTGAGAAGACCCCTCTTTTCTACAATCACTGTTTTGAATAGAGCCAGTGGGGCCACAGACTCTTCCCTAGCAGTCAGCATAGTCTTTGCTCACTTTTGCCGTTTGCTCACTTGGGCAACCGGGCTGCATTAGTACCTAGAATAATTTTAGTAACCAAGGTCTCTTCAGCCTCCATCCCAGGGGGCGGATGTTGGCAGTGTTTAAGATGAGTGTAAAAGTGAAAGTCTATATGAGCTATCAAGCCATGAAAAGACGTGAAGGAACCTTAGACACATACCACTGAGTGAAAGAGGTCAGCCTGAAAAGGCTACATACTGTAGGATTCCAACTATATGACATTCTGAAAAAGGCAAAACTATGCTGACAGTAAAAAGATCAGTGTTTGCCAGGGTTGGGGGGGGGATGAACAGGCAGAGCACAGCAGATTTTTAGGGCCATGAAACTATTCTGTATGACACTATAATGGTGGATACGTGTCCTCATACATTTGTCCAAACCCATTGAATGTACAACACTGAGAGTGAACTCTAATATAAACTATGGACTTTGGGTGTCAATGTGGGTTCATCGATTATAACAAATGTACCACTCCGCTGGGGATGTTGATAATGTGGGAGGCTATGTGTGGTGGAGGAGCGGTAGATATATGGGAAATCTCTGTATGTTCTCCTCAATTTTACTGCAAATTTACAACTGCTTTAAAAATAAAGTCCATAAATAAAAGAATGAATCCGTAAATAAAAGGCTATCAATCAACTAGGAGTGCTGTCTCTCTACCAGGATTTCTTTTTTTAAATTTAAAATTGACAGTTTATCACTGTATATATTAATATTTATGGCGTAAAAGGTAATATTATGATTTATGAACATAATGTGGAATAATTAAATCAACCTAGTTAACATTATCACCTCAAACACTTAATGTTTTTTGTGGTGAATACATTTGAAATTTACTTTCAGCAATTTTGAAATGTACAATATTATTAACTATATTCACCACGTTGTGAAATAGATCTAAAAAAATCCCGTATATCTCCTGCCTGAGATTTTGAACCCTTTCACCATCATCTCCCCATTCCTCCCAGCCCCCAGCCTCTTTAACCACCATTCTACTCTCTGCTTCTGTGGGTTCTCTTGTTTCAGATTCCACATATAAGTGAGAACGTGTGTTATTTGTCTTTCTGTGCCTGGCTAATTTCACTTAGCATAGTGTTCTCCAATTCCATCCATGTTGTTGCAAATGACAAAATTTCCTTCTTTTTAAAGGTCAAATAGTCTTCCACTGTGTATATATACCACATTTTGTTTATCCACTCAGTTGTTGATGGACACTTAGGTTAATTCTATAACTTGGCTATTGTAAATAGTGCTGCAGTGAATTTGGGAGTGCAAACATCTCTTTGACAAACTGATTTTAAATCTTTTCGATAAATACCCAGAAGTGGGACTGTGGAATCATAATGGTATTTCTACTTTCAGTTTCTTAAGGACCTGCAATGTAGTTTTCCAGTAATGGCCGTACAAAGTTACAATGCCATCAGCAGTGTGTAAGTGTTCCCTTTCTTCCACATCCTCACCAACACTTGGTATCTTTCATCTTCTTGATAGTAGCCATTCTGACAGGTGTGAGGGTATAGCTCAATGTTGTTTTAATTTGCATTTCCCTAAAGATTAGTGATGTGGAGCATTTTTTCATATACCTGTTGGCCATTTGTATGTCTTCTTTTGAGAAATGTCTATTTGGGTCCCTTGTCGATTTTTTAATGAGATTTTTTTCCTTGCTATTGAGTTGTTTGAGCTCCTTATATATTTTGGATATTAACCCCTTACCAGATGTATGGCTTGTAAATATTTTCTCCTAATCTGTACATTGTCTCTACACATTGTTAATTTTTTCCTTTGCTATCTAGAAGCTTTTTAGTTTGATATAATCCCATTTGTCTATTTTTCCTTTTGTTGCCTGTGCTTTTGGGGTCAAATATGAAAAATCATTGCCCAAATCAATATCATGTAGCTATTTATTTATTTAGAGACAAGTCTTACTCTGTTGCCCCAGGTAGAGTGCAGTGGCATCATCATAGATCACTGCAACCTCAAACTCCTGGGCTCAAGTGATCCTCCTGCCTCAGCCTCCTGAGTAGCTGGGACTACAGGCATGCGCCGCCACATCCAGCTGATTTTTCTATTTTTTGTAGAGAAGGAGTCTCACTGTTGCTCAGGCTATCTCTAACTCCTGACCTCAAGCAATCCTCCCACCTCGGCTTCCCAGAGTGCTAGGATTATAGGTGTGAGCCACAGGGCCTGGCCACCTTTATGTTTTCTTTCTAGTAGTTTTACAATTTTTGGTCTTACACTTAAGTCTTCGATCCATTTTGAGTTTATTTTTGTATATCTCGTGAGATGAGAGTCCAATTTCCTTCCTCTGCATGTGGATATCCAGTTTTCCCACCACACTTATTGAAGAAACTATCCTTTTCCCATTGTATATTCTTGGCACCTTTGTCAAAAATCGATTGACTGTACACACATGGGTTAATTTCTGGGCTCTTTATTCTGTTCCATTGGATTATGTGTATGTTTTTTTTGGCCAGCACCATGCTGTTTTAATTACTATTACTTTGTAGTATAGTTTGAAATCAGGTAGTGTT